GCAACTGCCTTCGGCTCAGGTCATGATCCTGGAGTCCCAGGATCAAGTCCCGCATCGGGCTCCCTGCTCAGCAGGGAGTCTGCTTCTCCCTCTGATTCTCTTCCCTCTCGTGCTCTCTATCTCTCTCATTCTCTCTCTCTCGAATAAATAAATAAAATCTTAAAAAAAAAATAAAACATCATGTTTAATAAAAAAAGAAAAGAAAAACTCACAGCGAATATCATTCTCCATGGGGAAAAACTGAGAGCTTTCCCCTAAGGTCAGGAATACGGCAGGGATGTCCACTATGACCACTGCTATACAACACAGTATTAGAAGTCCTAGCCACAACAATCAGACAACAAAAAGAAATAAAAGGCATCCGAATTGGCAAAGAAGTCAAACTCTCACTCTTTGCAGATGATATGATACTTTATGTGGAAAACCAAAAGACTCCACCCCAAAACTGCTAGAACTCATACAGGAATTCAGTCAAGTGCCAGGATATAAAATCAATGCACAGAAATCAGTGGCATTCCTATACACCAACAAGACAGAAGAAAGAGAAATTAAGGAGTCGCTCCCATTTACAATTGCACCCAAAACCATAAGATACCTAGGAATAAATCTAACCAAAGAGGCAAAGTATCTGTACTCAGAAAACTATAGAATACTCATGAAAGAAATTGGGGAAGACACAAAGAAATGGAAAAACGTTCCATGCTCATGGATTGGAGGAACAAATATTATGAAAATGTCAATGCTACCTAGAGCAATCTACACATTTAATGCAATCCCCATCAAAATACCATCCACTTTTTTCAAAGAAATGGAACAAATAATCCTAAAATTTGTATGGAACCAGAAGAGACCCCGAATAGCCAGAGGAATGTTGAAAAAGAAAAGCAAAGCTGGCGGCATCACAATTCCGGACTTCCAGCTCTATTACAAAGCTGTCATCATCAAGACAGTATGGCACTGGCACAAAAACAGACACATAGAGCAATGGAACAGAATAGAGAGCCCAGAAATGGACCCTCAACTCTATGGTCAACTCATCTTCGACAAAGCAGGAAAGAATGTCCAGTGGAAAAAAGACAGTCTCTTCAACAAATGGAGTTGGGAAAATTGGACAGCCACATGCAGAAGAATGAAACTGGACCATTTCCTTACACCACACACAAAAATAGACTCAACATGGGTGAAAGACCTCAGTGTGAGACAGGAGTCCATCAAAATCCTAAAGGAGAACACAGGTAGCAACCTCTTCGACCTCAGCCACTGCAAATTCTTCCTAGAAACATCACCAAAGGCAAGGGAAGCAAGGGCACAAATGAACTATTGGGACTTCATCAAGATAAAAAGCTTTTGCACAGCAAAAGAAATAGTCTACAAAACCAAAAGACAACCGACAGAATGGGAGAAGATATTTGCAAATGACATATCAGATAAAGGGCTAGTATCCAAAATCTATAAAGAACTTATCAAACTCAACACCCAAAGAACAAATAATCCAATCAAGAAATGGGCAGAAGACATGAACAGATATTTTTCCAAAGAAGATGCCCAAATGGCCAATAGACACATGAAAAAGTGCTCAACATCACTTGGCATCAGGGAAATTCAAATCAAAACCTCAATGAGATACAACCTCACACCAGTCAGAATGGCTAAAATTAACAAATCAGGAAATGACAGATGTCAGCGGGGACATGGAGAAAGGGGAACTCTCCTACACGGTTGGTGGGAATGCAAGCTGGTGCAGCCACTCTGGAAAACAATATGGATGTTCTTCAAAAAGTTGAAAGTAGAGCTACCATACGATCCAGCAATTGCACTACTGGGTATTTACCCCAAAGATACAAATGTAGGGATCTGAAGGGGTACGTGCACCCCGATGTTTATAGCAGCAATGTCCACAATAGCCAAACTATGGAAAGAGCCAAGATGTCCATCGACAGATGAATGGATAAAGAAGATGTGGTATATATATACAATGGAATATTATGCAGCCATCAAAAGGAATGAAATCTTGCCATTTGCAATGATGTGGATAGAACTGGAGGGTATTATTCTAAGTGAAATAAGTCAATCAGAGAAAGACATGTATCATATGATCTCACTGATATGAGGAATTCTTAATGTCAGAAAACAAACTGTGTTGCTGGAGTGGTGGGGGGTGGGAGGGATGGGGTGGCTGGGTGATAGACATTGGGGAGGGTATGTGCTACGGTGAGTGCTGTGAATTGTGTAAGACTTGAATCACAGATCTGTACCTTTGAAACAAATAATACATTATATGTTAAAAAAGGAATAAAAAGAAGATAGTAGGAGGGGAAAAATGAAGCAGGGGAAATCAGAGGGGGAGACGAACCATGAGAGACTATGGACTCTGAGAAACAAACTGAGGGTTCTAGAGGGGACGGGGCTGGGGAGATGGGTTAGCCTGGTGATGGGTATTAAAGAGGGCACATACTGAATGGGGCACTGGATATTATATGCAAACAATGAATCATGGAACACTACATCAAAAACTAATGTTGTAATGTATGGTGATTAACATAACATAATAAACAAACAAAAAAGCCTTTTCTTGTTCAAGTGGGTAAAATCAAATTGCCAAAGATCTTTGACAACCAGTGATTCTGAGTAGAGACTATATTGATGGAAACAATAAAATTATGAGACCATAAAATTATGCTGGGAGCAGATGTCAAAGCAAAAAAGGAATCAAGACAGAGAATTCTGGTTTACCATTTCATGCCTTGGGAAATCACCAAACAAACCAAGTCCAAGCACAAATCAATCAAAAACTAAGATGGGACTAAAAGCATAAGTTGGATGACATCATTACCTAAAACTGACTTTGAAAGAAAGAGGCAAAGGGGAGAAGGTAGAGGAAGAAAGAGTAAAAAGATGGTATATCTCTGTTGGTATATCCTCCCTGACTCGGAAATTTAAAAAAAAAAAATCACAAGTATATGGACCCTTTGGGGAATGTGTTAGTATGTATAATATTAGAGTTTTCCAGATGATGGAAAGATAATTAAGTAAACAAGTTAGATTTATGTGAATGAAGAATAAATAGGTTCTATATCATGGCTTCAAGGAACTTCCTATGAATAAAATTCCATGTGCTTTTGGTAGATATTGTGACATATTTTAGTCAAAATTCTATAGGCATAGTTACTAATTGTTATCATTTCCTTGGTGGGTAACATCATCAAAACTTGCTTTATGGTATGGAGAGATGTTCTGGTGTTAGTTTTTGAATAGCACTGTTCCTTAGATCATTATTCTTTAATGACAATTCAGAAGTAGGATTTGTCAAACCTTACTGACAAAAATGACTCTATTACAGTATGTTAACTTTCATCTAGGTTCAAATCCTTGCTCTACCACTTACTATGTGATCATGGATAGATAACTTAAACTCTGTCCTTCAGCTTCCTCAATTGTAAAATGGCATTAACCATTGTCCCTGCCAATATGGCTATGTGAAAATTAAATGATTTTTGACACATAAAGTAATTGGAACAATGTCTGGTACAAAGTAAGTATTAACAGTAAGTATATAATTATTATTAATTTTTAAAATTATGTTATACAAAATATTGTATACACAAACATTAAAGTAATGTCCTTTTATGAGGAGGCAGAAACATCCTAAACATTTCATCATTTAGTGAGAACTCAGCCTAGCATGGAACTTGGCAGCAAGAGAATAATAGGATATAATTATATATATTCTAGCATTCATCATTACTTCTTTGTTTATGCTATAGATTTTATCAGATCTAAACCTAAAATGGAAGAAGCCAAAAGCCAAAGTTTGGAGGAAGACTTTGAAGGACAGGCCACACATACAGGTAAGCAAATCCAAAGGAAAAAATTTATTAAGTTAAAATTAAATGTGCATATCTCTAATGTTCTTACTGCCATTATTCAGTATGAAATTTAAGTAATATCTTTGAACGGTTTGATGGAATCATCTAAGAAATATTTGAGAGGGAAAATTAATGTGAAATCAAATACTCTTAAAGTAGTTTTATTTAGATGTCAAAGAATGAGAAAAACACAATTATTGAGAAATTCTTAATACCCAACTATCATAAGCCCTCTTCTACACTATAGTTAAGCTCTTTCCTCTCTAATTTCCCCCACTATGAACTTTCCTTGCAGTTGTAAACAATAGTAGACCAAAAGGTAAATAGTTTTTAATTTTAATTTTTTGAATCTGAAGAAAATAAATGATAAACCATTTTTAAATCAAATGGATTTCAATATTCCTCTAGAAACCCTAAGACTGCAATTCATTTCATCCAGAGCCTGTTTTCCTGATCTGTTAAATTGTATGGGACTGTATATATGCCACTACTAAAAGTTTAAAAATCAAATAGTATGTCAGTTTAAAAGTTTAGTTTGTACCTCTTAAGCCTCTTCACTTATTTTGTATACCTGCAACTAGAATAATATTGTATATCAACTATACTTTAGTTAAAAAATAAATAACATTAAAAAAATAAATAAAAATAACAGTTTAGGGTTTTTAACTCTATTGAATCTTATTAAACTAATATTTCCCCCTCTCTTTTAATAATACAAAATGGACTCTAAATTTAGCCAGAGAGTTGAATGAATTCACATGAGTGCTGGGCAAAATGCATGGGAATTCATTTTATTATTCTATTCTATTCTATTCTATTCTATTCTATAAGAGAGAGAGCAAACACGAGCAGGGGTAGGGGCAGAGGGAGAGGGACAAGCAGATTGCCCGCTGAGCAGGGAGCCCCACCTGGGCTTGATTCCAGGACCTGAAGATCATGACCTGAGCCAAAGGCTGATGCTTAACCAACTGAGCCACCCAGGTGCCCCAGGAATTCATTTTATAACAACAGTGTGAAGAGTACCTTTCTAAGTATGACAGAACCAAGAAACCATAGAGGAAGATTGATAAATTCAGCTATAAAAATGAAGGACGGAGGGAAGGAAGGAAAGAAATGTCTGTTGATAGGTCATCAGTAGCAAATTTCAAAAAAACATTTGACAAACTGGGGGAAACCAGCTGCAATTCAATTGACAAAGGGTTAATGTCCTAATAAATACTGAAAGTTCCTACAAATCAATAAGAAAAACAACAACAATCAAATGGAGAAATGAGCAAAAGATAGGTCAGAAAAAAATAGCACTTATGAAGTTAGTACTATTGTGAGATACCTTTTTTTCACACTGTTTGTAAAAGTAAAAAGTTTAATAAGACACTTTGAAAAGAGGCATACTCATACATTACTGGTAGGAGTGTAAACTAGTACAACCTCCTTAAGAGTAGTTTAGCAATATCAAAGTTAGAAATATATATGCTTTTTGACCAAGCTATTCTAATACAATAACCTATAGATAGACCTGCATGGATAGAAAAAATGTATGTGCAAGGTTCTTCACTCAGGATTATATATTATAGAAAAAATGGGGAAGCAACAATATACATCAACAAGAAACTTTTTTAAGTAAATGAATATCTACACAATGTAATGCCATGCCTCCATTTTTTTAAAAAAGGAAGACTCTCTTTATGCATGTATATGAAAAAAATCTCTGAGATATATTATGAATTAAGAAAAGCAAGGTGAGAAAAAGCGTAAAAAAAAAACTTGTAAAAAAACAGGAGAAAAAAGATTCTCTTTTCTACACATATAAACACATGCAATACATATGCATATTTTGTAAAAACAGAACTTATCTGGAAGATGAAGACAATACAAGTAAACAGAAAACAATGAATATAATTTTAATATAAGTAACTTTATATTAAAAGTATATATTAGATATTAGATAAATTAAGAAATTATTAAGAAATATGTGGGAGAAAGAGAATACATCCACACATATAACATTAACGGTATAGATATGGCTAATCTTTAGTGAAGGATATTTAAAACTCCATATTTCCAAGGATTTAGGCCTTCCAAACACTTTTATTATTTATCAGGACAACTGAACATCTGAATTCCAGTTGGATCATCCTTGACTTAATTAGTTTTTCCTAATCTGCAAATCCCATCCTCTCTCCATTTGTAAAAGTTTTTAGAATCTTTTTTTTTTTTTTTTTTTGACCGACAGACAGAGAGAGACAGCAAGAGAGGAAACACAAGCAGGGGGAGTGGGAGAGGGAGAAGCAGGCTTCCCACCAAGCAGGGAGTCTGACGCGGGGCTGGATCCCAGGACCTTGGGATCATGACCTGAGCCAAAGACAGATGCTTAACAACTGAGCCACCCAGGCATCCCAAAGATTCTTAAAAGGAATTGGATGATTATGTAATAAATTTCTTAAAGCCATTTTAGTTCTGTTATTTGAGGTCAGGTCTTCTCTAACTGGTTGTCTTGTATGTGATATTGTTGTTTTCTGGATCTTGATATCACTTCAATTTGTTTCCCCAATAATCCTAGTGTCCCTGTTAATAGTGTGGTACCAATTCTAGATTATTGCTGAAGCTTCCTTCTTACTTAATAAAAGTGCTCTTTTGCTAAGATTCTAGTTCCCCTCTACATTCTAATGTTTTAGTATCTTTACCCTCAAATTTTGCCAATAGTTGAAAGTATGTAATTTGTATTTTCATTAATGTAGATGTTTCAGAGAAATTCTTAGCCAAAACCCATTTAACAAGATTAGTGTAGGAAAATATTTTTATGAGCAGGGCAGTCAGACATTTTTAGCCCAAACAAGATTTTTTTTATGATACAGAGATGGCAAGTCTATTCCAGCGATGATACTTATGCAAACCTCAATTGTATAAATAGTTGTTTTCAAAATAGAGAGAGAAATGATTTGTTTTTTCTTTTATTCCAGGACCCAAAGGAGTAATAAATGATTGGAGAAAGTTTAAATTAGAGAGTGAAGACGGTGATTCAGTTCCACCTAGAAAGAAGGAGATTCTCAGACAGATGTCTTCTCCTCAGAGTAGAGATGACAAAGACTCAAAAGAAAGATTCAGCAGAAAGGTAAGGAAAATAATCAATAGTAAATAACTTACAATGTGTTTTTAGTCTAAAGGACTCTAAAGAATCACTTTAGAGATATAAAATAGATATATTTCAAAAATATTTATTATAATATTATGTTGGCAAAAAAAAACCCCAGGAAATGAAATAAATACCTGTGAAGGTATTCCATATTAAAAAATGTATAGCAGGGTGCCTGGGTGGCTCAGTTGGTTAAGCAACTGCCTTCGGCTCAGGTCATGATCCTGGGGTCCTGGGATCGAGTCCCACGTCGGGCTCCCTGCTGAGCGGGGAGTCTGCTTCTCCCTCTGGCCCTCCCCCCTCTCATGTACTCTCTCTATCTCATTCTCTCTCTCAAATAAATAAATAAAATATTTAAAAAAATGTATAGCAGCTATTAAAAGAATGAGTTTTAAATACATGAGCTGACTTAAGGGCAGTTCCGTAAAATGAGAAAGCAAAATACAGAGTATTTTAAGTTATATGATGACCCCATTCTCTAGAGCAAAGGGAAAAAAAATACACATCACTGTATATATTTTTACGCTTATATAATTATATGAACAATATGTAGAAGTTTGGAAAGACACTCACCAACTTCACAATATTGGTTATTTAGAAGTGTGGGATTGATTGAGAGATCTCAACTTCCTTTTTCCAAATAGGAAAAAGAAGGTAAGCAGAATAAGCCACATATTTTTAAAGGTATCATGATTTTTTTAAAGCAGAATTTTTTTAAAAAGTCACTTATTTACTTGTTATATAATGTGTATGTCCATGTGCTATGTCAAAATATGTTAATGGAGATTATCTTAGAGTATTAGAGTGGTGAAATTTCACTATTTATTACTTTCTCCCTTTAGCTTTTAACTCATTTTTGAATCCTTATAATTAGCATGCATTATTTATATAACAATAATAACAACAACAATCATATTAATTTAAAACCCATTAAGTGACTTCCATTGTGGAGTAAATCACTTTAGTGGGTTATTTATCTTCAAACCAATGCATATGAGTTGTATATTGTTTCTCAACAGACAGACTACATCAGAAACGTCAAGTCTAAGATCTTGTTTCCAGATTTGGGTTCCTTCACTGAGACACTATGTGATATAGATTAGACAATTAAATTTTCCCACCTGAAGAATTGCAACAACACATCCTCTCTTTGTTTTAAAGAGATGTGAAGAGAAAATAAATGTAAAAATATTTGAAACATGTAAAATGCCGTACAAATGAGAGACATTATGATTATTAAAGGTGTTGCACAGGTTAAGCTTGAGAAGTGTATCTGAATGCCTAAATGCCTGAATATATGAATGGAACAAATTCTCACAAATGCATATGTAAATCAATATTATAATATCGATACAATATTTGTATGGTTCAGTCTGTTAAATTAACAGAACTATAGTAGCAACTTAAAAATTATAGAAAACATTTAACATTTTTTAGGGTTAAAACAAAATTGAAAATTATCTTAAAGCAAAAAAGTAATATGACAGGAAAAAGAATGAGGACATTAGAAAAACAAATATAAGAGGCAGAAATGAGAAGGAATTAATGAAAGCACCAGATATTTCTACTTAACCTGAATCTTAGTATCATCTATAAAATGAGAGTAATAATACCTACCTCATAGGTTTATTGTGAGGATTAAGTAAAATAATCTATGCAAAGTGCCTAAGACATAATAGATTTTCCATAAATACTAGTTTCTTGCCTTCTCAATTCTCCTCCACTTTAAAAATTTTTAGCAGTTGCTGGGGCGCCTGGGTGGCTCAGTCATTAAGCATCTGCCTTCGGCTCAGGTCATGATCCCAGGGTCCTGGGATCGAGCCCCACATCGGGCTCCCTGCTCAGTGGGGAGCCTGCTTCTCCCTCTCCCACTCCCCTGCTTGTGTTCCCTCTCTCGCTGTGTCTCTCCCTGTAAAATAAATAAATAAAATCTTTAAAAAAAATAAATAAATAAAAATTATTAGCAGTTGCTGTTTGAGAGGCTACTTGATGGCAAAGCAGCAGCGAATCCAACTTCTGTGATTCTGGGTGGCTCCACGTCTCTCAATCATACTTATGTCCCACATTGTTCCTTCATATATATGTACATACACATGTATATATACATACATACGTATATATGTATTTTGGTGGAGGAGGAGAGTGTTTAGCATTCTATGGAATAAGTTAATAATGGTGTAGCTATTAAAAAAGGCTCTGTAGGTACTTTTATACTCTAGCTGCAGTGGAAAGTAGCTGTCTTGGAAGATGGAAGTAAGTCTTTTCTCACTTTAGCCTAAACCGGTAGCTAAGAATCACCTGAAGGGCTTATTTGAAGATGGCTCACTCAGCCTCACACATACAAGTTCTAATTCAGTAGATCTGGAGTGGTGCTCCAAAATTTGCCTTTCCCAGAATTTCTCAGGTGCTGCTGTTGCTGCTGACCCAGCATTAACCTCTTGAATGATCTTATGAACAGCAAATAATAGTAAAAGCTGTCTTGCTTGAATTCTATCCCATATATTCCAAAAAGTCAGTAAGTGATAAGATATAATCTTTTTTTCTTTTTAAAGATATAATCTTTTAAAGAACTTTTGTGGAGGAGACACTAATATTTAAAGGCATTTGTTGGGGACACATTTAAATTATGTGTGTATACCCTTTTTATTTTTTAGGAAAGCCACTCCAGAGTAGACCCTGCTGGGATTTTTTTCACCCAATGTGATGGGTAGCTAAGTGGCACATTTTTTACTGAGACTGTGACCATCTCGTGGCTCAACTATATTCAGCAATATTTAGGCATGCATTTACTCATGCAATAATTACTGAGCTCCCATTTTATGCCAGACACTACAGCAGATAGTGAAGAGAGATGAATGATACAAAATTCCTGCCCCATGGGGCATATCAGTTATAAAAACTATTACAAAATAAATAAATATATAACACAATGTCAGTAGTGTTTGTTGTTATGAAGAAAAATAAACCAATATAAGGAATAGAAAGCATGGTATGGGGACTCTTTTAGGTAGTATAATTGAAGAAGGTAACACTTGAACAAAGGCTTGAATGTGGTGAAGAAGGAAAAGGCCTTCACATCAGGAGTGAGGTAGGATGGTGGGGAGAAAACAGTAAATGCAAACTTTTTGAGTTGAGAATAGGTTTGGTATGTCTAAAGATTATAAATTACTGGGGGCGCCTGGGTGGCTCAGTTGGTTAAGCATCTGCCTTCAGCTCAGGTCATCATCCCAGGGTCCTGGGATGGAGTCCTGCATAGGACTCCTGCTCAGTGGAAAACCTGCTTCTCCCTCTCCCTCTGCCCCTCCTCCCTGCTTGTGCATGTGTGTGCTCCCTCTCTCAAAAAAATAAATAAAATCTTTAAAAAAATTTTTAAAAGAATATACATTTCTGACCAAATTATCTCTACGATTTCTTTTGTTTATTTCTAGATGAGCATTCAAGAATATGAATTAATTCACCGAGATAAAGAAGATGAAAATTCCCTTCGTAAATACCGTAGACAATGCATGCAGGATATGCACCAGAAGCTGAGTTTTGGGCCTAGATATGGGTTTGTGTATGAGCTGGAAACTGGGGAGCAATTCCTGGAAACCATTGAAAAAGAGCAGAAAATCACCACAATTGTTGTTCATATTTATGAAGATGGCATTAAGGGTTGTGATGCTCTAAACAGTAGCTTTACATGCCTTGCAGCTGAATACCCTATAGTCAAGTTTTGTAAAATAAAAGCTTCTAATACAGGTGCGGGGGACCGCTTTTCCTCAGATGTACTCCCCACACTGCTCGTCTACAAAGGTGGGGAACTCATAAGCAATTTTATTAGTGTTACAGAACAGTTTGCCGAAGAATTTTTTGCTGGGGATGTGGAGTCTTTCCTAAATGAATATGGGTTACTACCTGAAAGAGAGATACATGCCCTAGATCAGACCAACATGGAAGAAGATACTGAATAAAGAGTCATTATGTCAACATCTCATATTTCTCCTTTACAAGTTGAATATTGATTTTGGCAGAATCCATATTCCTTTAGAGAATACCAAGTATGGCCATGGCTATTTTAATTTGTGAGAAAAAAAAGATTGATGCTAAAATTATTTGATTAGCATTACTTAAATGAATAGAAGGCTTTACTACAAAATATTGTAGTCTTTAGCAACATGTTAGTAGACAAAGAGGGTATGAATAATATTGTGACAGTTTTCAAAAATCCCTTTCAAGTTATGTGTTGGCTTTCTTACTCCTTGTTTTTTCCTCAGTGGTATTATTTGGACTTTTCAAATTACATTATCAATCACAATTTTGCTTGTGTGATAAGAATAAAGTCTCATGAGGAAATAAGTTTGTTATTTGAAATCTATTCTTTCTCAAGTACTACATTATCAAGGCCCTAAAAACATTACATAACCCAAAATACAAAAAAAAAATCACTCAGTAAGATATCTTACATTATAAATATATATATCTTATAAGAAACTTAGAAACCTTGTGTCACATTAAAGTTTTTTAAAAAAGGTAGTTTTTTTTTTTTTAAATACAACCTCAGAAGCTAACCTTATTTAGGAAAAAAATTTTATTCTATGGACAAAAGAATATTTAGTAGTGATAATAATTACAACTATCATTTTTTAATTACCTATTATGGGCCAGCATTTTATACATATAATGTGTAATTTTTAACCACAGTTCCACAAGTAGATATCCACAAGTGGATAGCACTTTATAAATGATGAAACTGAAATTCATAAAGTTCTATTTCTATTTCCCTTGAAAACACTGGGAAAATTTTCCTCCTACACAAACAAATGGAAATGCAAAACAAAATATAATTTGAAAAATGTTTTTAAATGCCTCACGAATGAGCTGTAGAGCAAGGTAAAAGAAACTTTTAGGGATCTGAATCAGAGTAGGAGATAATGGTGAGTGAGAGCTGAAGCACCATGGCCTATATTTGAAGACATGGTGCTTGATAAATCACCCAATACTGGCTCCCTGTGGGAAGTCTGCTTAAAACAGATTTTCTTGGGGTGTCTGGGTGGCTCAGTTAGTTAAGCGACTGCTTTCAGCTCAGGTCATGATCCCGGAGTCCTGGGATTGAGTCCCGCATCAGGCTCCCTGCTCAGCAGGGGAGTCTGCTTCTCCTCTCCCTCTGCTCATTCCCCATCTCCCTCACTCTCTCTTTCAATAAATAAATAAAATCTTTTAAAAAACACAACAACAGATTTGTTTATTTTCCCCCTGGGAGACGAATGTTCAAATCAGACATTTGTCACAAGTTCTAGTCTCCACTATCCTAAATGAAGATTTTGTATCTTCTCTTTCCTTAAATCTTTCATACCCTTTTCCCCCAGTCCAAGCACTTCACCTTCCTCATACTTAATTGAGAAAATAGAAGTTATCAAACAGGCCCTACCTCACCTTTCCATCACCAGTCTAAAATGTGCACTGGCATAGTCCAAGATGGCAGAGGAGTAGGAGACCTTAGTTTTGTCTGGTCCCAGGAATTCAGCTAGATAGTTGTCAAATCATTTTGACACCGGTGAACTCAACTGGAGATCTAAGAAAAGAATTGCTGCAATTCTACAAATAGATAAGCGCCCAAGGTAAGAAGCGCAGAGAAGTGAATTCAAGGTGATATATCATCAGAAGATAAAGCATGGGGAGAGGGAGCCTCCAAAAGCTGGCACTGGAAAGTGATAGAGCAGCAGAGCACAAAATCAGAACTTTTAGAAGTCTGCTCTGGTGAGGGACGTCCCTGCCTGAAAGGTGCTCAGGTGGCAAAGCAGGCATAATCCTAGGTGGGACGGTGTGGTCTCAGGATCCCTGAGGCAGAGTTCCCAGGCATTGAAGCAGGAAAGCCGGCTGCAATCAGCAAGCCCAGGAGTGGGATCTCAGCTTAGGGTTGCCATATAATCAAATTGGGGCACAGTTGGGTGACTGCTTTCCAAGCAGGGGCCCAGCGAGCAGCAGAACAGCAGTAAGACCCCCACCCCCATACCTCCCTGGGAGGAGAGGTGTGGGTGTGCACCTCAGGAGTCTGCAGGGTTTGGAGACTTGAAATGCGGTTGTGTGCCTGAGATAGAAATGCCTCATCACAGGTTGGGTGAATGCAGAGTGTGGACGGAGGCCAAGGAGACAGGAGTGACTGACTGCTTTTCTCTGCGGGTGCATTGAGGAGTGGGGCCCCAAGCTCTGGGCTCCGGGTCTGGAGATTGGGAGGCCACCATTTTCATTCTCATCCTCTAAAGTGGCACCAAAAGCCTTCAGGGAACAAAGGCCACATAGAGCAATCCAGAGCCGCTTACTTAGCCTGGCCTCCTGGCAAAGGTGGTGCAATTCCATCCAGGTAAAGACACTTGAGAATCAATGCAACAGGCCCCTCCCCCAGAAGATCAGCAAGAACATCCAGCTAAGACCAAGTTTACCAATCGTAGACAACTGCAAAACTCCAGCAATAGGGAAAAATAGTATATAGAATTCATGTTTTTTTCCCATGATTCTTTAGTCTTTCAATTTTAATTATTTTTTCTCTTTCCTTTTTCAACCATTTTCTTATTTCATCAGCTCTTTTTAAAAAAATCTCTTAATTTTCATTTTTACAGTTACATTCTATCCTTTCTATTTAATTTTATTTTTGTGTATGTATGAGTTTTTCTTTCTTTATAATTTTGGGATGCAATTTCTTCTAACAAACAGAATCTAGTGTATGGCTCTCTTCTCTTTACCTGTCTGATCATATTTTCTCTTTTTTTCTTCTGTTTTTTTTTTTGTTGTTGTTTGTTAAAGTCTTTTTAAATTTTCATCTTTACAATTACAATCTATCCTTTCAATATCTAATTTTATTTTTGTATATATGTAAGTTTTTCTTTCTTTACAAATCTGAGATGCAGTTTCTTCTAATACACAGACCACAATACACTCGGGATATAGTGTATTGTTCTGTTCTGTTCACCTATCTCTTTATATTCCTTTTCTTTCTTTCTTTCTTTCTTTCTTTCTCTCTCTCTTTCTTTCTTTCTTCCTGTCTTTTAATTTTCATTTTTATAGTTACATTCTATCCTTTCATTGTATTTAATTTTATTTTTGTACATATATGTTTTTCTATCTTTACAATTTTGGGATCTAATTTTCTAACAAACAGACCAAAATACACACAGAATCGAGTGTATTGCTCTGTTCTGTTCACCTGTCTGATTATATTCTATCTTTAAAAAGAATTTTTTTTTCAGTTTCGGGTCTCTTCTGATTGTTTAGTTATATTTCTCTGGGGTTATCCTTTTAGTGTTTTGTTCTCTTTTTCATCTATTCTTCTCCAGACAGAATGACAAGACAGAAAAACTCACCTCAAAAAAGAGAACAAGAGGCAGTACTGACTGCCAGGGACCTAATCAGTATGGATATGAGTAAGGTGTCAGAACTGGAGTTCAGAATAACAATTATAAAGATACTAGCTGGACTTGAAAAAAGCATAGAAGACACTAAAGAATCCCTTTCTGGAGAAATAAAAGAACTAAAACCTAATCAAGTTGAAATCAAAAAGGCTATTAATGAGATGCAATAAAAAATGGAGGCTCTAACTGCTAGGATAAATGAGGCAGAAGAAAGAATTAATGATATAAAAGACCAAATGATGGAGAATAAAGAAACTGAGAAAAAGAGAGATATGCAACTACTGGATCACAAGGGGAGAATTCAAGAGATAAGTGATACCATAAAGTGAAACAATATTGGAATATTTGGGATCCCAGAAGAAGAGAAAAGAGAGGGGAGAAGGTACATTGGAACAAATTATAACACAGAACATCCCTAATCTGGAGAAGGAAACAGGCATTCAAGTCCAGGAGGCACAGAGAACCCCCCTCAAAATCAATAAAAATAGGTCAACAGCCCATCATATAATAGTGAAACTTGCAAATCTCAGAGACAAAGAGAAAATCCTGAAAGCAATTCAGGACAAGAGGTCCATAACCTACGATGGTAGAAACATTAAACTGGCAGAAGACATAGCCACAGAGACCTGGCAGGCCAGAAAGGACTGGAATGATATATTCAGGTGCTAAATGAGAAAAATGTGCAGCCAAAATACTTTACCCAGCTAGGATGTCATTCAAAATAGGAGAGATAAAAACCTTCCAGGACAAACAGAAACTAAAAGAAATTATGATCACTAAACCAGCCCTGCAAGAAATATTAAAAGGGATCCTTTAAGTGAAGACAGAGCCCAAAAGTAACACAGACCAGAAAGGAACAGAAACAATAAACAGAAACAGTGACTTTACAGGTAATACAATGGCACTAAATTCATATCTTTCAATAGTTACTCTGAATGTAAATGGGCTAAATGCTCCAATCAAAAGACACAGGGTATCAGGTTGGATAAAAAAGGAAGACCCATCAATATGCTGTCAGCAAGAGATTCATTTTAGACCCAAAGACACCTCCAGATTTAAAGTGAGGGGGTGGAGAACCATTTATCATGCTAATGGACACCAAAAGAAAACTGGGGTGCCAATCCTTATATCACACAAATTAGATGTTAAACCAAAGACTGTAATAAGAGATGAGGAAGGACACTATATCATACTTAAAGGGTCTTTCCAACAAGAAGATCTAACAATTATAAATATTTATGCTCCTAACATGGGAGCAGCCAATTATATAAACCAATTAATAACAAAATTAAAGAAACACATTGATAATAACACAATAATAGTATGGGACTTTAACACCTCATTCACAGCAATGGACAGATCATCTAAGCAGAAGATCAACAAGGAAACAAGGGCTCTGAATGACACACTGTACCAGATGGACTTAACAGATATATTCAGAGCATTCCATCCTAAAGCAACAGAATACACATTCTTCTGGAGTGCACATGGAACATTCTCCAGAATAGATCACGTACTGGGTCACAAATCATGTCTCAACCAGTACCAAAAGATTGGGATAATTCCCTGTATATTTTCAGACCACAATGCTTTGAAACTGGAACTCAGTCACAAGAGGAAATTTGGAAAGAACTCAACTCCATGAAGGCTAAAGAGCATCTCACTAAACAACGAATGGGTCAACCAGGAAATTAAAGAATAATTTAAAAAATTCATGGAAACAAATGAAAATGAAAACACCACCGTTCAAACCTTTGGGATGAAGCAAAGACAGTCCTAAGAGGGAAGTATATAACATTACAAGCCTTTCTCAAAACAACAAGAAGGGTCTCAAATACACAACCTAACCCTTCACCTAAAGGAGCTGGAGAAAGAATGACAAATAGAGCCTAAACCCAGCAGGAGAAGAGAATTAATAAAGATTAGAGCAGAAATCAATGAAATAGAAAC